TGTGGCAAATAATTTTATTTTCAACTGTGAAATCTCATGCAGGCAGCCCTATTTTGTCCTCAATGAAATGGTTGCTTTAAAAACTCTGAAGGATAGCATCTACCAAGAGCTTTTAGAAAGATTTCCAAGGACCCCTTTAAAAAAGTGATGTTCTCTGGCTTTTGGACTATCTCCTAATCATGCTTGACAAAATATATCAAATTCCAAAAAAGTAAAAGTAGACTAAACACTGCTCAGAATTTATCATGTGCCAAAGATTATATTATTTTGTCAGTAATAGGACTATCGTATCTTTTGAACCCAAGGACTGTAGTACTACCAAAATAAATTATTCTTTCCAATCAAATATCCTTCAGAATTACATCTTTTACCCCTAATGCACATTTGTGCCCCTCTAAATGTTGCTTTTTGCCTTTTAGTACTGTCCATGGGGTTTTCATGGCAAAGATACTGGAGTGGTTTGCCATTTCCTTCTCCAGTGGATCACATTTTGTCAGAACACTCTACTATGACCTGTCCGTCTTGGGTGGCCCTGCATGGCATAGCTCATAGCTTCATTGAGTTACGCAAGCCCCTTCGCCACGACAAGGCAGTAATCAATATTAAGAAAACCAAAATCATGGCATCCGGCCCTCTCAATTCCTGGCAAATAGATGAGGAAGAAATGGAGGTAGTAACAGATTTTATTTTCCTGGGCTCCAAGATCACCACAGATGGGGACTGCAGCCAAGAAATTAAAAGACGCTTGCTCCTGGGGAGGAAAGCTATGGAAAATCTAGACAGCATACTAAAAGCAGCATACTAAAAAGCCAACAAAAGTGCGTATAGTCAAGGCCATGGTTTTCCCAGTTGCAATGTATGGATGTGAAAGTTGGACCATAAGAAAGGCTGAGCGACAAAGAACTGAGGCCTTTGAACTATGGTGCTGGAGAAGACTCCTGTGAGTCCCCTGGACTGCAAGGCATTCAAACTGGTCAGTCCTAGAAGAGATCAACCCCGACTGCTCTTTAGAAGGCCAGATCCTGAAGTTGAAACTCAAATACCTTGGTCACCTAATGAGAAGGAAGGACTCACTGGAGAAGGGCCTAATGCTGGGAAAGATTGAGGGCAATAGAAGAAGGGGACGACAGAGAATGAGGTGGCTGGATGGAGTCACTGAAGCAGTAGGCGTGAACTTAAATGGACTCCAGAAGATGGTAGAGGACAGGAAGACCTGGAGGAACGTTGTCCATGGGGTCGCCATGGGTCGGACACAACTTCGCAATTAACAACAACAAAATGTTGCTTATCTCCAATTTCCAGCATAAAAATGGTTGATTACTGTACTTCATCAATATCTGTATCCCACCCGACTCAAATTCATATCATAAGGGAGTTATAATCCAGTCTGGCCAGTTACCACTCTTTCCCCATATTTTAATCCTCTTTTCAATAATCCATGTAATTTCTAAGGCTTGTACTCAATTCAATAGAAAACTTACCTTTATAACAATAATAGCAAACATAATAAGATATATTAACCATTTTACCCTTGTACTGTGACATTTAATATAGAAACATCGTGGTTTTTCTGGCTATTTCAATGAGTTTTCACAAAAAGCTATGTCAAATTGGAAGAGAACACTGAATTATGTTAAACATCTTAACACTCAAGAGACTCTGTATAATCACCATTAAGTGTTTCAGCAGCTTACTCCAACAATTTTTTTGTCAAAATTGTTCTATTTCAATGAATCTTCCTTCCCAAAAAGTATGTTCTGAATCATTGCCTTAACATGGTTAACAGACAGAATTTTTTTAATTACCGTACACCAACTGCTGCTGTTTACACTATCAGTCAGTACACTGAGGCATCAAAGAGATTTACCATTCTACTCCAATCACTCTATGTTGTTATTTTAACAGTTTCTAGGAAGCTCTGTATTTTTGTTTCCTTTTCCAAATTGGTCTTTCCAAAACAAATTAAAACTGAGGCATGCTCTATAAATGCATTTGCTTTTCTAGGTAATGTTTAATTTAATGGATAAAACTCTTTAAAGGCTCACAGCAAAGTTTTATTTTACCATAAATATTTTACAAATTATCTAGGAAAACATTCTGATTATATCCTCAATCATCTAAATAGCATTTGAAGCTATTTAACTACTAAGGTTCTAAGTTATTATTGTTAATAACTGATCTAATGTTTTCTCTATATCTTATTTCAATTAGTCACTCTCATTCATAGTGATAAATGTAACTATTTCTGAATTCAGAGAATATATTAATTCATTAACTTTATTATAAGTCTGGTTTGGAGGTAAAAAAAACAATCCAGATCCACTAAACAGATACAGAACTGAAAAAGTGTATCATGGCTTTTCCATATTTAACAGAAAGATTTGATGTAATATTAGTTCTGTTTAATATTTGCTATGCCTAATAAGACCTTGCCACTAATTTGCATTTTTAAAATTTGTGTAAATCACATTACATATTACATGTTGCATTAATTTCTGGTCTTCAGAAATGAAACTTTTCTACAAAAAGCCCTACCAATATTTTACCAGTTAGAAAGTGAAGAATTTCCCCATAATGCACAGCATTCCATTTCTGTTCACTTTTGCTCTCCCTTGCAACAGCCTCTCACACACTATATAAAAACAGCTTTTTAACTGGGTCTTTCCTGCTTCCCATCTCAGGAAAAGTATCTCATTAAGCATCATCACCATTTCAGTTACAAAGATACAATTCAAAATATCCATTTATCTGAAAACTTCCTCTTCCCTGATTGTTATACGCTAAACTTCGGAACTTATTAAGTCATTTATATACAGTACATAGCACATAACTTACCAACCAGGGAAAGGGGATCAAGAAAGCTGTAAGCATCCACTGAATTTAGCGGGCCTTACCTCTCAATTAACATGTACAAGGTTAGACAGTAACTATTCTATCACTAAGGTTTTCAAACAGTACCTTCATTTTTGACACTTACAAAAATAGAATATTGTGTCTGTCAACATTGACAGCACTTAATTCTAAGATTTTCTAAATGTTCCCCAACAGGAGCTGAACTGGGTAATGGAATCCTGATATATTCTCTGGTCCCTGTACTCAGAATATTTTTAAACTGCTTGCTTTGTGGATTAGCTACTTATACCATGTTCCAATTATGAGATAATTAATCCACACTTTGGCAAGATCCTTTGGACAATTTTGAACATGAACTAATCCAATTTTTCCTCCAAATAGCTACTGAGTTTAGAAATGAGTTTTAAAAATATTTTTCATTGCTTACCATTAAGCATAAAATATGTTGTAAATAAAACATTGAGACAATACAGGATACATTCTCTAAATATTCTTTTAAATAGAGGACCAAAAAGATTGGCTAACATGTAAAAAGCTGCTGCGTGAAAGAAAAAACATTGTAGAATATGGACAGATTTAAAACAAAAACTAGAGAGAAAAATCTTCAAGAAATTCCTTTACGAAGGGAGGAGGGTATCATCCAAGATATTTTCCAATAATTTCCTCCCTCCTTCCTATATGCTATTTTAAAACAAACTACTAGTCATAAATTGCTGTGTTCTAACCTTACAGGCATAAATTGCTGTGTTCTAACCTTACAGGCACTCTCTATTCCAGTGGTTCTCAACCTGTGGGTCGGGACCCCATTTGGGGTCGATCGACCATTTCACGGGGGTCGCCAAGCAAGGCTGTCCGCCATTTTTTTCCCCTTTTCCGGCGGGTGCCTTACCTCCCTTGGGCTGGGCCAGCTGGTGGTCGGCCTGCTCCGTCTCTGCCACTTGCCAGCTACGCCTCGGCCGGCGCAGGGGGCGGAACCACGCATGCGCAGCGCTCCCGGGCAGGGAAAGTCCTCGACTTACGACCGATTGGGTAGTCCTCGACTTATGACCGGTTTAGTCCTTGACTTATGACCGGTTTAATCCTCGACTTACGACGGGTTTAGTCCTCGACTTACGACCGGTTGGGGTCGCGGCATTAAAAAGGTTGAGAACCACTGCTCTATTCTCTTCTCAATACAGCTGATTACACCCACCCACCCCAAAAAAAACCTGGACACTGAAAAAGCTGCCCGACTCTTAAAATCACAACGAACAGTAAATTTAATGCCCCTTTAGGCCTCCCCTACCATTCACTTTAATCGTGAAACAAGAAATTCCTTTAAACCTTTTTTTTTCTTCAGCTGGCCCTTTTTTTAAAAAAAATGGAGGCGAAAAACGAGTAAAAAGGTTTTCATTCAAAAGTCATCTACATACCTAAAGCAACAGCCGCTCAGACAGATTGAAGTGAGACAGGAGAGTAAGTCAAATTTGAAATGATCCAGCTATTATTCCCCCCCCCCACAAAGCCATCTCCATGTCAAAACGAAAGAGGGGAGCAAAACAAGCAAACCCACTAAGGATCCCCATTCACAAGGTCACACCTACTTTTCCCCCGCATCCAAATCACACACACCCATACATACACACACCCACCCATATATACACCCACCCATACCCGCAAACAATGTTCTGGCATCAATCACCACTGCAACATTAACCTGGTAAATTTATACCTTGCCTCTCACCGTTCCTTAGGGAGGGCAGGGAGGATTTTGCACAGCGGAGAGCTCTCTCTCTCTATCTCTCTCTCTCTCTCTCTCTCTCTCTCTCTATCTATCTATCTCTCTTTCTCTCTCTCTTTTCTCCGCTCTCCACGTTCGCACGACGGGTTGGAAGTAAAACCGGCGGCCGATGACCCGCCGGAGCTCCATCCTTAAACCTAGAGCCGCCGGGGGCTGGTGAAGAGCGCGACAAACCCGCGTGCAAAAAAAAAAGGGAAAGCAAAAGAAAGTCCTCCGCACGTGAGGATCTTCAAACCCTCTCCGCCAGGAAGAAAGGGAGAAAAAAAAAGGTTGCGCAGCCAAGCGGGAGCGCGTGGAGAGACCCCCCCGCCCGTCCGGCCGCCCTCGACCGGGCCCACCCAGCCCCTCCTGGCTGGCCGCCACTCACGCTCGAAGTCGGAATCGGTGTCCTCCTCGGACGCTTCCCTCCGCGCCTCTTCGCCGTTTGACTCCGTCTGCATGGGCTCCCCGTCGAAGTTGACTCCTTTGCCCCTGGCGGCCGCCTCCTCGCGCAGCTGCTGGTCGCGGGAATCCCGCAGGCGAATGAAGTACTCGGCGGCGAAGTCCAGGAGATCCGGCGGCCGACGCCGCAACACCTCCACGGTGTAGCCCTGCAGCAGCTCCGACAAACCCGGCGGGATCTCGATACTCATCTTTGCCGCCGCGGCGAGCTCGCGAATTTAAGGGGGACGGAACACCGAAGTCGCCGAACTGCCAAACCGCCGCCGCCGCCGCCCCCGGGGCTTCCGAAACGGGCCCGGCGCCGGGGCCTCCCACCGCGGCTCACTCCCCCTTCGAGCCCTCTCTCGCTCCGCTAAGGGAGCCGCGCTCGCGCCGCCGCCGCCACAGCCGCCTGACACGCGAGAAAGAAAGGGACTGGGGGAGGAGGAGGAGGGAGGAGGAGGTGGGAGGGACTGGGACGGAAGCGCACAACGGTCGACGCGCTCCAAAGCAGGAAACGGCCAAGAGCGCGAGCGAGCGAGCGAGCGAGCGAAGGCGGGGGTGGGAGAAAAGAGGGGAGGGTGGGGGGGGCGGCGGCGGCCGAGGAGGCGTGAATTAGAAAAAAAAAAATGGGTGGGAATCATTTGCGTCACAATACCGAAGAAGGGGCGCGCGGAGGGAACGGGTTAAAAGGAGTCCAGTAATAGGGAAGGGTGGGCGAGGGGATGCCGCGCGTGCGCAGAGGAAGGCGGGGTGTTCAGGTGGGAGCCGCCAGTTTGGTACCGTAATTCCTTCGCGGGTTCCAGCCGGCTAAATGGGGAAGGGGAGGGTTGGCTGCGGCGATTTCAAAAAAGGGACGTTGTGCTTCGCGTTGCCGTCGGTGCGTTGTCTTCCTGGCGACGGTTGGGAAATGCGCGACGACTCTTCTTTTAGTAACTTTCTCAATCCGTACATTACTCCCAAAGAATTGTTCAGAAAATTGTCACTCGGCGTTCAGGGTTGGCTCGACACTGAATTACAAACTATTCTCAACCTTGGCAACTTTAAGACTTGTGGACTTCAACTCCCAGAATTCCTCAGCCAGCTTTGCTGGCTGAGGAATTCTGGGAGTTGAAGTCCACAAGTCTTAAAGTTGCCAAGGTTGAGAACCCCTGATCTAAAGGCAGCCGTTTGAAAATGTGAATTAAGTTTGTCAATGTGCAAATGTAAACATTTTTCCAGAGCGGATCTTTTATTTTTTAATTTTTTTAATTTTTTAATTTTTTTAATTTTTTCAAACCTGGGGAAAACGTCTGGATATTTTTTTTAAAAAAATCTTGTTTTGGTTGTGCCGGCGTTATATTATTAGCCGTATTTTTGATGTATGGGAGAGAGAAACATGTATTATATTTAGTAAAAGAAGGAAAGATGATTTGTCTTGCTATTTCATCAGTGTTAGATAGTGGAATAATTGGCAGTTTTGTGTTAGCTCTTCATTATCACTTCTATAAACAAACGTTTACTGGTGGACAAAAGATTTAAACCGAGTGCCTACCACCATATTTTTTACAAAAGAAATAGAGATGCTGCTCTGAATGTGGACTAGATGCCTTCAGCTTTTTTCTTAAACAGAAGGGAAGCAAGCACCAAATTATGGAAGTGGCATCAAATATCTAGAGAAGTGGGGGACTCCATTGAGTATATACAAGTCAAGGCTTCACAACTGGAAATTTTTAAGAAGAGATTGGACAACCATTTGTCTGAAATGGTATACAGTTTCCTGCCTGAGCTGGGGTTGGACTAGAAGACCTCCAAGGTCCCTTCCAACTCTGTTATTCTATTCTGTTCTGTTCTGTTCACTATCAGGCAGGCTGCTTTAATCTGAATTCCTCTACTGAGTATGGAATTGGCCTCAATGACTTAAATATAGTAGCCACTAAGATTTGGACTGTAAGGTCATGAGTCTTATGGGCCCACAAGCATTTATATTTAATCACTTGATTGTGCATACCTTATTCATTTGTGATATATTAAACAATGAACTGTTTATAACCTGACTATTTGGAGTTAGCTTTTGTTGACCACAGATTTAGCAAGAGCATAAAACCTCAATTTCAAAAGGTTGGCCTTGGTGATGTAACAATATTGGGCTGAGTGATATCACAAAAACGTCATGAGATCACGTTTCCCAGCTAAAAAAAGAGAAAAAATGTTTATATTTTTCCTTAATCTGGTGATAGTTTTCCCTTCTGTGATAGGAAATTTTAAATCTTTCAATTAAATCACTAACTTTTTCATCCATCTTTCCTTCTGCTACACTCTTTTGCACGTTTATCTAAAAATGTGTCTTCAATCTCAACATGACTTACACTTGAATATTACTTATGCAATATTATCTTATATATTCTCACTATTGCATAGCAATGTTAAACTGCTCAGAAAACTATTCTACCAGCCCTTACTGCTTCTGATTTGTATATATGTTACATGTAAAATATTTAATTTTATCAGTATTGAGATTTTGTCTATTCCTTTTATTCCTTTTGTGTCATGTCTTTCGGATTGAGAGTCTCCATGCAAAAAAATATGTTTTCATGAATTATCAGTAACTCATTTAAGAAACCTTGCTGGCCTAAAACACTTTAAAATAATAAAACAATAAATGTATTCCTCTGGAATGCTGTTCAGCAAACCAGCTGATCCTCCTGTGCTGCCTGAGAGAAAGACTCCAAGTCATAGATGGAGCATTACAGCAAAATATGCCCATTTGGCTGTCAGCCATTCAATTTACACTTAGTTTATCAAATGTTTGCTGAAGTAAAGGCATACTGTGTCCCCAGCATTCCTGATGTGTGTGATCTGACCAAAAAATAAGCTAAGTTTGGTCTAGCAAGATTTGTACAGGACTAGATAATTATAGCATTGGTTTCATGTTGTTTATAACTAATCTCTTTATGATGTGCTCTGGAATCTTCTCAGGATCAACATCACACTTACTTGGTTCCCTGGCATTTTCCTTTTTGGAATGTCAGAAATAACATTTGGTATTTCACTGCAGGATTTCTGAAGGATAATATATAAGGGTATTACCATAAACTATCCTTCAGCTAGTTTTCAAGTATACAATTTATCAGAGCCTGGAAATTTAAACTCAAAAGTCAGGAGGTATTCCTTGACCAGAATTTTATTAACCTCAAAACGTATTCTGTCCCTTCATCCTGCTTTCAGATAACTGAATAAGAATTGGATAGCTCTGGCTTTTCTTTATTACCTGTTAGCATTTTGCCTTCTCTACTGAGCAGCTGGTATGCTGGTTCTTTATGTTTTGAACATAACTAAAAAAACCTCTTGATTGTTGAACTTCTTGCTACTTTCAGCTCACTCTAAGCTTTCATTTTTCTAACACCAGCTCTATAGTTCTAAGTTATCCATACTTGTCAGTCCTTTGAAGGTAGTCCAGTCAGGAAAGACAAACCATGAATACCAACCCTACCTTTATTGTCAGATTAAAGTGATAAAATCTTGTAAGTCTGAAAGCACTTTTGCTTTCCAGAAAATTAGGGAGCGTCTCTTCTGAGACACTTCACATGATCCTTTTGCTTCTGTGGGCTGAGATACCTTTGTGAAGTCCTTGAGGCTCCCTGAGCTTGGTTGTTTTCTTGCAGACATTTTATTACCCAGCTAGATAACATCAGTGCTAGAAGGTACCTTTTGCATGATGGTTGTCTAGTCTGCAGCTTTTCCTTCTGACTTTCAAGTCATTCCCACATGCAATACTCTTCCATTTGTGTCCTGTCCCCTCCTAGTGGATGACATTTCTAAAAAATATATGTGAGAGATTTAAATTATGAAATGAAGATGTAACATGTACAGGAACACACAAAAAAGAAATGAAAGTTAAGTTTGTTGAAGATTATTATAAGAAATGCTCACTATATTTTCCTCATGCACAAAAAGTAGATCAGTTGTTTACTCAAGCAGTCAACTGAAAAAGAACTTTGCAAGTATGTTATGAATGCAGTGCATTTTCCCTACAAGTAAAACCTTGTTCACTGATTGGAGAAACAGCTATACAACTGCAAAATCCTCCTTTTGAAATACAAGGTGCAGCTGGCAGCACACACAAAAAATAAAGTTTAGTACTTTTAAATAGGAACACAGAACTTGGCAGATAGATAAGCACTTGACACTTGTCTGCCCTTAAAACCCAGAATCATCAGTAAGGTACAGGCTGTTGATTTGATGACGCCATTCTATGTTGTCGGTATAAATATGTCTGTGTTGCTCTTGGTCTAACAAGAGGAGGAATAAAGCAATGGTTATTTGAGCTGTAAGTTCTATTCAAAACTATGACCTTGGCTGAGCTTGTCAGTTACAGCATATTTATTATTCCCTTATCAAGAGGTCCCATCAATATTCCCAAATCCTTCTCAGTTTCTGGAAATAAATATTTCTTAACTGTTTAATACAGAGAGTTAATTGAACATCAGATCACCTCAGCACATAAATCTGGGTAAGTCTGAACGGAATTTACTTCAAAGGGAGAAAACCCCAAACATCTTCCTTTAAAATGAAAGATCAGACAGGGGAAAAAAAATCATATTGTGTATCATGTTTTTAGCAAAATGAAGATGACTTTCCCATTTTAAATTATTTGAGGAAAAGTTGACAATAGCTTTTAGGCAAATATTTTGCCTCAGGAGTGGTGTCACTGCCTCTGGCATTATGTTCTCTTGCACTAGGACATTAGTAGCTCTGTGTAATGTGCGCTTTCTAATTATTTTTTTTTAAAAATGGCTTTGCTCTTGTGATCTCATGGAACATTTATAAATACTGGGGGGACGAGTACTGGGGTCAATGTAATATTCAAAAGGAGTAAATTTGCTTTCTGATGGAAAGTAAACCGTCAGGGTTAGTAGGTCCTTAGTTATAGACCAGGGGTAGTCAACCTTGGCTCTTTTATGACTCGTGGACTTCAACTCCCAGAATTCCTGAGCCAGCATGGCTCAGCTTGGAAACCTCTCCCTTTCCCCTCAACATGGCTGGCTCAGGAATTCTGGGAGTTGAAGTCCACGAGTCATAAAAGAGCCAAGGTTGCCTACCCCTGTATATAGACAAAGGGAGGAAGTCTGAAGACAGCTTCACTCTCAGAGAAAGTGAGCAGGATCAGGGAGTTTTTGATTCAGAATAAAGCATCCTAAGAAATTAGGGTAAACATTTTTTGTCAGTTACC